AAACAAACAAACACCACACACAACAGAACAATGAGCAAAAGACATGGACAATTCACTGGGGAGGGAGGTGGGGAATCCTCCCATTAGCAATCACTCCCCATTTTCGTCCAACCTCCTCACACTCCCCCAGCCCTGGGTAACTACTAAGGCACTAAATGTACTTTTTGTTTCTATAGACTGCCATTCTGGACATTTTATATAAATGGAGGAAAATGTTCAAATTTACTCATAATGTAAAAAAATGTAAACTAAAACTACACTCAAAAATACAAAAGCTTAACAATATTCTCACTACTTGCGAGGCCGTGAAAAAACAACTACTCTCATATATCACTGGTAAAACAGGAAAATGATACAAACTCTACAGAGATCAACTTTGCAAAACCAAAATCACTTATGGTTTTACATCTTACCCAGCAGTTGCACTTCCGGGAGTCTTTCCTAAAGATACACCTCCATAAAACTAAACACTGTGTGTACCACATTATTTACTGCAGCATAATTTGCCACAACAAAATATTGAAAACGATCCAAATGTCCATCAATACGGAACTGATAGACTAAACAACAGTACATCCACCTACACAACAGAATTATAGTTATAAAAAAGAATAAAAAATGAGTTCATGTGAAGTGATTTCCAAGATACACTATTAAGAAAAAAAAGGTATAGAATAACGTATACAGCATGCTACCCTCTGTATAAAAAAGGTGAAGAATATGTATGACAATTTTCGTAAACTTAAAGAAGAGAAGAGATACATCAAAAAATGAATGAAAACAGTCATCTATGAAAGGTGGGTGGAAAAGGTGTGGAAGGGATGGTTATAGGAGTCAGACTTCTCTGACTATTCTTGTTTATATAGTTCTGACTTTTGAATCACAGAAATATTTTATATATTCAAAATATAAAATAGTACATGCAAATACTAAATGTTTTGTCTAACTTAAAACATAAACGTATTTTAATTGCCAGTGCTTTGAGCTAGGGGTCAAGGCCTTTTGAGCACGAGTCTGTTGATTAGAATTTACCATGGCTTTCTTAAACCATAACCACAATACATTGTTTAAGAAATCCAGTTTTTGTTCTATAACGTGAAGTTAGAAATTAAAGATAATTGCTGGCCGGGTGCGACGGCTCACACTTGTAATCCCAGCACTTTGGGAGGGCAAGGACGGTGGATCACTTGAGGTCAGGACTTCAAGACCAGCCTGGCCAACAAGGTAAAACCCTGTCTCTACTAAAAATACAAAAATTAGCCAGGTGTGGTGGCATGCACCTGTAGTCCCAGCTACTCAGGAGGCTAAGGCACAAGAATCGCTTGAACCTGGGAGGCAGAGGTTGCAATGAGCCAA